GTTACGCATGATCCTCCACCACACAACTATAAAGTAGCATTCATTTTAAGAGGGTTTTCTTTATCTTATTTTTTGCATTTAAGAAAGGGTATCTGATTCGATGTCTCCTTTTTCTAGGCCATTTTTATCTTAATTCAATAATACTTACATTATTCATACAATTTCATTTAATGCGGTTGAAGTTGGAGCTTCTTCATTTGAGGAATGCAAAGTTCATTTGCCATGTTACTTCTTTCCCATCTCATTGTTTTAATCTGATAAGAAATTCACTCGAAATTGCAGGACATAACTCGATTGGCGATTATTACTGAATTATCTTGTCAATTATCGTTTTAATCAAATTTTACATCACATGTGAAATACTTAATCTCTTATTTTAGTTTTTTAATAAATATCATATAGAGTGTCTCAACTAAAACTGTTAATATGGAGACGTAGCTACAACTCACTTCACACACTAGTTCTTTTTTTTAAATCTTATGCGTATTTTTTTTAAACCTCTGCACGCCCTCTACTTACTTTGATCCTAAACTTTAAGTTAGGCTCAGAGTTAAAGATGGATTAGTTCACATTTTTAAAAAATAATTAATAATTATTATGTTATTTTTATTAAAATAAATATATCTATTTATTTATATTTTTATTAAATTATTTTATTTAAAATTAATTAAAAAATATATTTTAAAAGATAAAAAAATTATATCAATTCTATTAAATTAAATAATTTCACTTTAAAAATAAATTCTACTAAATTAAGATGAGATAAAATTTAAATTTATAAATATTCATTAATTTTTGCTAAGTTCGTAAATTACTTAAATACATCAATGAATTTTATAATATTAAGTATAATGGTGGTGTTGTATTTAATTTTTCTTAACACATTATATTTTATTTAAATAAATTATTTTAAACATTTTGATAACAAATGACTTAATAAATTTAGTTAGTGTTGTTTTTTATTGTCAATTTTGTGTCTTTATTATAACTTTAAAAATATTTATTAAATATGTGATATTCTTAAAATAATTTTATAAAAATAAATAAATAATATACAAATATTAAAATATAGATTTTTTTATTGTTAATATTCAAATAAAATTAAAGAATAATGTACTAAAAAATTATTTATTAAATTATATGAATAAAAAATATTACTATAATTTAATAATCATCATTGATACAAACAAAAATTAGATAAATATATAACTTAATTTATAATAAATTATTATATTTTATTTAATATTATATAAATTTAATTACTTTTATCTATTTTTAAGTCATTTATTTGTCTAAAGTTTATAGTAAGAAATATTATATAAAATAGATATTTTTAAATAAATTATAATAATTTTTAATGGTAGTTAGTTCATAAGTTAACACTAGCCTACTTAATCATATGAACATTTTATAGTAAAAACTTTTCACATAGTAGGTTATTTGGCCCTAATCCACATGAATTAGGATTAAATTAGTTAAGATTAAGGTACTCTTGTGGAATTCTCATGAACAGCAAAAAAAATTGTAGTCAATTTGATAATATTCGAATAACATTATTTCTTTGGTACAAAATAATGAAACTCTTAAATGTGATTTAAAATAGATCTTGTTCTATGTTAATAAGGGATTTCTATGTCAAAATTAATTTTGAGTTCTTAAAAGGTAGAACTAACCAAGATTATAATGAGACATAAACACATAGTAAAAAAAAAATTACAATCAATTAAAAAAAGTAAATATAGAAAGACTTCATCATTAAAATTATCTAAAAATAAATTTTAAAATTAAAATTGAGTTAAACAAAATTTACCTATAAAAAATTTATTAACACCTTTAAAAGAATAGTCACTATATAATTAATTGTATAAAATTTAACTTTTAAAATATTTATTTCACTAAAAAAGTAAATTATTTTTAATTTTTAAATTTAAAGAAAGATATCATTTATAAGGAAATATATTTAAAATAAACACAACTTAAGAAAAACTATTTTTTTATTTTAAATTCAAATTAAAGAAATAATTTATTTACAGTAAATATTATGTCTTTTTTAAATTTGAGATAAAATAAATAAATTTAAACTTATTTTGATATTTTAAAATTTTTAAATTATATGAAAAGAAGTATTTAAAAAATGATACTTTTAATTTTATTTCAGAAAATGGAGAAAATTTTGAAATTTTCATTTTTTATTTTTAAATTCCAAATCAGATAGAAAAAGTATTTACGAAAAAGGAGTTTTTATTTAGGTATTTATGAAAATATAAAAAATTCAAAATAAAACAAATTAAATCTAAAAATTAAAAATAAATTGAAATAAATATTGTGAATAGTTTATATATATATATATATATATATATATATATATATATATATATATATATATAGCGGAGAAGTTTTTGATTGTGGATAGGGTCGTTATCTAATGGTTAGAAATTAATGTAATTTTCTTGGAGGAGAAATAATATGACAATGTGTTTTCTTAGAAAACAAAGAGAAGATATATTGTTAGAAGAACACACGTTCCAAAACTTAAAGACTACAAAGAAGTGAAAGTGATATTTTTTCTGGGTCAAGTAACAATTTTTCCTTCTTTCTTTTGGGTTATCTTAATTTGTCTTGTAAATTTGAGTGCATTGCATTGGTATTAAAATTTTCACAGTGGGTGCTTGGAAAAATTTAATACAAATGTGATTCACTCACTAAATTTACAAGACAATTAACAACAAAAATAAAAGAAAGGAAGTTTTTTTTTACTTGATAAAAAGATAAATAAATAATTCACATTTGCTCTATGTACTCTTACTCGATCATCTCCGGTTTCTATCCATTAGGCATAATTACTTTATCTACTCATCAAATATCCAAAGAGAAAAACTACTATCCTTATTTTGTTTTTTTATTTTGAATTTTCCCGAATTTATATATTTTATAAAAATTTTCCCCTTGCTTTTTATTATTATTTTAGTTTTTTTTCATTTCCTTAATATTTTAAATTATTATTATTTATTACCTTAATATATGCCTCCTTCACTTCCAAGAAAAGAGGGTGTGGAATTTGTGAAGCTTGCCACTTGCATAAATTCCCAAGTTTAGCTAACATTAAGTTAAAGGCGAATAAAGAAGGGAGAATAGCGTTCTAAAGCATCTTTTGAAGGCTCTTACCCCATAAGCTTTCTGTGATGCTTTCTCCTTTTCTTTAAGCCAACTTACAGCTTTAATATTTTCAGCTTCTTTATCATTTGACTAACTGTCTTTGCCTTCATATTAGCTGTGGATCTTATTGCAAGGAAATTAATACTTCATTCTCTTCAACTCATTTGCCATAGATTATAAGGATCTTGTTAATAAGTTAGTACTGATTAAAATATTAATAAATAATCCTTTTAATTAAAAAAAAAAAAAGAAACATGTTAATGTACATTGAAACTTACTACAGTGCCATACCATACTTTTTAACGTTTTTTTAACTTTTAATTATTTAGCAAATACCTTAAAATTAATTTCTAGAGTTCTAAATCAAATTTCACTCTCACTTAAATTAATGTTTTTCTTTCATATTTTTTAATTTTTAATAAATTTTGGTTAAAAATAAAAATTATTTTTAAGAGTTATTTCTAACATTATTTTTTCATGGAATGAGGGTAAAGTGGTCTATAAAAAAAATTGCCAACGTGGAAAGTTGTGGAAGAAAGACAAGAATCTATGAAAGTAGGGAGCGATTTATGTACAAGTCTACCCCTATTTTAGTCTAAAAGTCTATCTTTGTCCTCTGAAGTGGGGCACCAAGCATAGCCTTTACAAAAATTGTGGAATTTGAACTAATGCTCTTTCCCATTTCTACTTTAATTATCAAAGCGTTTACATAAAGCAAATGCACTCATATGAACAATATTCCTCTATACCCACTTAGAAAACACATAATTAGCATTAATTCCTTAATCAGCATTTCATTTGTAGTTCTAGACATATATTAATATTCTAGTATTGGTTTAAGAATACTATATATCAATATTCTGAGAGGTGAGATTGAAGCTGGTTTTCATAAAACTAAGTCTTCGAATGAGAAGATAAACACAGAAGGAAAGTGCAAAGAAAAAGACTCAACTTCAGTCTTGAAATTGCAATACATCATATGACATAAGGGAAACAATAATTTCATATTTAGTGTGAGAAGCAGAGTAAATACACGTGTCCATTGTTTTAATCTTTGATTATATATATAAAGTTATTTTAGATTTTAACTTTTAAAATTAAACTATTTTAATCTATTTTTTGTTTTGGTAAACTAATAATTAAAGTAACATTTTTATTAAAATGGAAAATTAAATAACAAATATTTATAATTTGAGAGACTAAAATTAGTATTTATTTGTTCTAAGTAAAATATGTATGTAATTTTTTTTAATTAGTTTCTTGAGACATTTAAAAAAACACTTACTCAAAATACTATTCAACAAAATAATTATTTCACTGAAAAATTATAAAAGAAATTTAATATATTTTTTTACTTCAAAACTATAAACTTTAATATATTTTACTAACGGGTAGTGGGTTCAAGTACATGCTTGATTCTTAAACAAAGTTTCAGTTTCATTTTTTACTCGAGCACCACTAAAAGATATTTGTGTTTTAAATAAGAAAATGTCAACTTTTTGTTTTAAATATTATTTTTTTTACTCTTTAAAAATTATTAAAACATGTTCAAGATTAAAATAGATAGTAATTTTAGAAATTATCACAATTTGTAATTTTAGTAATTTTAGAACGAAATTAAAATGACAAATAATAAGATACTGGTTAAACATTTTAAACTATATTTTTTTAAAATATAATTAATATGCATTCAACATAAGTTTCAATACATCTTCAATATATTTTTTGAAAAAAAAAACTTCAATAAAATTATTTTTTTAAAAAAATCTTTACATTGACATGATCCAATTAAAATACTCAATACTCAATAAATAAGCATCTAAGGAGTGGTAGTCGCTAATGATATGCACTGGTAAATGAGATCCTCTTTCATGTAAGTGCCATAAAGGTTACATAACTTAAGTCTCACATCTCTATTTTAATTCTAGAAATCCAATTCAATTCTCTCTCTCTCCCTCTCCCTCTCCCTCTCCCTCCCTCTCTCTCTCTCTATAATTTTCATGTGCAGCTATTCCAGTTACTTGAGCAACAACAATTGCCAACACACATTTCTGCTATTTCTCAGATTCACTAGCAATTTAGAGGAAGATATCGTAAAAGTTACACCCTGAAATATCACTTCATTTCACCACTAGACACATGAACATAGAGATTCTGAACCAAGAAGAAGCTTGAAAGCTGAACCTCCAAAACCATAGGCACCATGAGTTCTCAAGCAGCACCAAAGCCAAACCAAGATGACTACAAGTTGAAAGACACAAAACCAGCGCTTGGAGAACGTTGGCCACATGGAGGACAACGTGGAGGCACTGGTTGGATCTACACTGAAAGAGCCACAAGCACTTATGACCTTGTGGAACAAATGTTCTACCTCTATGTTCGTGTTGTGAAGGCCAAAGACCTTCCACCAAACCCTGTAACGGGAAACGTTGACCCTTATGTTGAAGTCAAAGTTGGGAACTACAAGGGTAAAACAAGGCACTTTGAGAAGAAGATCAACCCTGAATGGAAGCAGGTTTTTGCATTCTCAAAGGAGAAGATTCAGTCTTCAGTTGTTGAAGTGTTTGTGAGAGACAAAGAAATGGTAGCCAGAGATGATTACATTGGGAAAGTTGAGTTTGACATGCATGAAGTGCCGACAAGGGTGCCCCCAGATAGTCCTTTGGCTCCTCAGTGGTATAGGCTTGAGAATCTGCGAGGGGAAACAAGGAGTAGAGGTGAAATCATGCTAGCTGTTTGGATGGGAACACAAGCTGATGAAGCATTTCCTGAGGCTTGGCATTCAGATTCTGCATCAGTTAAGGGAGATGGAGTTTATAATATCAGGTCAAAGGTTTATGTTAATCCAAAACTTTGGTATCTTAGAGTTAATGTCATTGAAGCCCAAGATGTTGAGCCATTGGACAAAAGCCAGCCACCTCAAGTTTTTGTGAAGGGTCAAGTTGGTCAACAAGTGCTCAAGACTAAGCTGTGTCCAACAAAAACACCAAATCCTATGTGGAATGAGGATTTGGTGTTTGTGGCAGCAGAACCCTTTGAGGAGCAGCTTGTGCTCACTGTGGAAAACAAGGCTTCCCCTGGTAAGGATGAAGTTGTGTCCAAGATAAGCTTGCCACTGAACAAATTTGAAATTCGTTTGGATCACAGGACAGTACACTCACGTTGGTACAATCTTGAAAAGTTTGGATTTGGTGTGTTGGAGGGTGACAAGAGAAATGAAAACAAGTTCTCAAGTAGGATTCACCTAAGAGTGTGTCTTGAGGGTGCTTATCATGTGCTAGATGAATCAACAATGTATATTAGTGATACAAGGCCAACTGCTAGGCAGCTTTGGAAGCAGCCAATTGGAATACTTGAAGTGGGAATTTTGAGTGCTCAAGGGCTCCAACCTATGAAGACAAACAATGGTAAAGGGTCAACAGATGCTTATTGTGTGGCCAAGTATGGACAGAAATGGGTCAGAACTAGAACAATCACTGAGAGCTTCAATCCAAAATGGAATGAGCAGTACACGTGGGAAGTTTATGACCCTTGCACTGTCATAACTTTTGGAGTCTTTGACAACTGCCATTTGGGTCAGCAAGCTCCTGGAAGTGGAGCCAAAAATGACTCAAGAATTGGGAAGGTGAGAATCCGTTTGTCAACCTTGGAAATGGATAGGATTTACACTAACTCCTACCCTCTACTTGTTCTGCGCTCCTCGGGGTTGAAGAAAATGGGGGAACTACAGTTGGCTATTCGCTTTACATGTCTCTCCATGGCTCACATAATTTACCTTTATGGACACCCTTTGTTGCCAAAAATGCATTACTTGCATCCATTCACTGTGAACCAATTGGACAACTTGAGGTACCAAGCTATGAACATTGTGGGAGTAAGGCTTGGGAGGGCAGAACCACCCTTGAGGAAAGAGGTTGTGGAGTACATGCTAGATGTGGACTCGCATATATGGAGCATGAGAAAAAGCAAAGCCAATTTCTTCCGAATTGTGTCACTGTTTTCAGGGGTAATATCTATGAGTAGGTGGCTTGGTGAGGTGCAACAGTGGAAGAACCCAGTGACCACAATTCTAGTTCATGTCCTATTTTTCATCTTGATATGCTATCCTGAACTGATCCTCCCTACTATGTTCCTCTACATGTTTCTCATTGGAATATGGAACTTACGGTTCAGGCCAAGGCACCCCCCACACATGGACACCAAACTTTCATGGGCAGAAGCAGCACACCCAGATGAACTTGATGAAGAGTTTGACACTTTTCCTACTTCAAAGGATCAAGATGTGACCAAAATGAGGTATGATAGGCTTAGGAGTGTGGCAGGGAGAATACAAACTGTGGTTGGAGATATTGCAACACAAGGTGAGAGATTTCATTCATTGCTCAGTTGGAGAGACCCAAGAGCAACAAGCCTCTATGTGATTTTCTGCCTCATTGCAGCAGTGGCACTATATGTGACCCCTTTCAAGATAATAGCTTCAGTTGCTGGCATTTTCTGGCTCAGGCACCCCAGATTCAGAAGCAAGCTACCCTCAGTGCCTAGCAACTTCTTCAAGAGGTTGCCATCTCGTGCTGATAGCATGCTTTGAGGCTCCAAATTAGGCGAAAAGCAACATTATTAAGATCTTCTGTGTTATTGCATTATTCATTTTTTTTCTTTTACTTTTTGGTTAGTACACAATTAGCATGATTTTTCTTCCTGTCATCAAATTTTTAATTCTTGCGTTATTTGGAAGTGTCAACAACAATAAAACTAAGTATCAATCCACAACATTTTCTTTTATTAATGACTCTGTATTAGTAATCTATACATGTAATGATCGATATTTGATAGACTCAGCGGTGTAGTTACTGTTAGCTTCACATGGGAATCAAATCCTCATTTCTATTGGGGTAATCGTAGAATACAACGCTAATTTTATCTAGATCTTGTTCATCTGAAGCTTACGATTAATTGATTCAACAAGATCGGAGAGAATTTTATATAAGCATAATCAGCTAATTCTTGTACATTATATTATTATATTCAACGGTAAATTCAGAGATGGGTCCATGTTTTCTCAGCGCAGTATATGTTTATCCGAGATTATTTAGAGTTGAACCCCTTTTAATTTTCTTCTCTGGTCATAAGGAATTGGAAATGATTTCTTTTTGGTTCAGGAAATTCACCCATATTAATAAAATTTGTATTCATGAATCTCTCCTTTATATTTTTTCAACATTGTATTCATGGATCTACATGGCCCATAAAGAACTTCTCTTTGGGTCAAGAAATGGCCCGTTAAAATCTGGACAGAAAAAAAATGACCAAAAATTGTGTTTGTAAATTGAGAAAACAACTTTTGAAGATAAAAATATTTGTATTTTAGTTACTACCCATAAACTAAAATTTAGTATTTATATCCATAGCAACTTTATTATTCCAAGCATTACATTAAACTAAAATTTTAACGACTAATATGCAACCCAATCACCAAAGAATTCCATGAATCTCTCATACTACTAATAATAATAAAATAAATAAATAATTAAGGCCAACTACTACATTGACAAGACCTTTTATCAAAACAATACCTCGTAATATCATACCTACCACTCTTGACAACTACTTGCGAGTTACATAGACCAAGTAAAAATGGTTCTATGATGATTGCATTGTTTTTCATGCATTGCGTTACTGAATGTTTAGAGAAATCTTGCTCATCATTGCTCTCTCGATTACAACTTGTCACCTGCAACATTAATTAAGCAAAACATAAGTCAAATAATTTTCTTTTTATTTAAATTAAGTCAAATACCTTATTATCATTTCTTTTTAATTTTACCTGTTATACTAATGTGCTTCTGTCGTTGCCCATGTTTACTAAAACTTTTCCTTTGGGATTGCTAACCTATGAAGAATTTTCAATTCGTAGTACAGAATATTATGCTTGAATCGTTGATCACAAACAAACAATTTTGCCTGTTGACCTTAGGTGCCTTTTCCATATAAGTCAACACCCATTCTTTATGAAAATTTATTCATTTTTTGGTTTCAATCATTTGTAGGAAGAAATTCTCTTCGACTCGAGAAACATTCATATATGATGACACTAAATTTTTTTATACAGAAATTTAAATTTAAAACCTTAATTTTACATAGTTTTATATTTTAATTTTACATTATTTTTTTCTTAAATCTCTTTTTTTCCGATAGTATTTACTATATATATATATATATATATATATATATATATATATAATCATTCTATTATTTTATTTATGAAATTTTATTTCATTTTTTTAGAATTATTGCTTTATTTTTTGAATTGACTATTTTTTTTTTATTTTATTGTAAGAAGTTGTGTCAATATGAATTAGTTAAAATAAATCAAATCATAAAAAAAATTATAAAAAAAACTAGATAATGAAAAAAATTTGAATTTATTTTTAAACTTTAAGATTTTGGAATGAAGACTATAATTCTCTCTCTCTCCCTCATCTACACTTAAACTTCAAGTCTTCTATCTAAAACTGTTTCACCTTTCACATCCACATCATCTTTCTCTTTCATTCCATTCACATGTTACCTCCACAAAATCTTCAAAAACTAGTATTTTCCATCATGGAGTGATATTTCTTTCATAGTAGATCAATTGGAGAGTTTTTCTGTCATTTTTATTTAAGAATCTTTTTTGTTTAGCTTATGTTATTTTCAACATATATATCTAAGCACCTCTTGTCATGAGGTTGGAGTAGATACTGGATGTATCTCTTTTGAATTTTAATTTAATTTTATAATGATGTTAGTTGTTGATTAAAATTGTTCTTTTGTTGTTATTATTTTTAAATTGACTACTTAAAGATTAATTTTAATTAATTAATAGACAATTATATCATTAATATGTTCACTAAGCTAAGAATTTAAGTTTATGAGTTACGAGAATCAATCTTTCACTTAGTCTTTCAATTAATTATTTAATTAAATTTAACAAATCTAATGAGTTTATTATAATATTAGGATAATATTTGGATAAGAAGTCTATCCTTATTCTAGAATCATTATGTAGTGGTAATAAGCAATTTGATAATTGCTCGTATTAATACAATTGATTTAAATTAAATTAAAATAAATAAATTTATACAAATTTATTATGTGATTTATCCTTATTATTAGGTAGAAGTAATAACTAATTTGATAATTGTTTGCATTAATATAATTAGTTTAAGTTGAATTGAGATACATATAAGTAATCACAAAAAGAAATCTATACAAATTTATTATGTGATTTCCGTATGTTTTATCTTTTTCAATCTCTTAAATCATTTTACTTTTTATTATTAATTCAAATTTTTTAATTATTGCATCATTTAAAATTAAAATAATATTAATAGTAAGTACTTGCAAACATAGTTTATGAAAAATGATATTGAAATGATTTATAATGCTTCTTTTTTATTACAATTTGATGGCCACTTCATTGTATGTTAAAAACTTCTTAAAAGTATTAAAACTCATAAAACAAAAATATTACATAAATATTTTATTATAAATAAATAGCCTGATTAAATTTTAATACTATTTAATAATTTGCAAATAAACAAAATGGATAGAAATATTACTTCAAGATTGTGACTAGATTAACTGTTTAAAAGTTAAAAATATTAATGTAAGAAAATTAGAATGATAACTTTTATTTTGTAAAATTGTAGAAACGTTATCATCATATATTTTCCATTTTTGTAGTTTGATGAACGTGACACCCATTAATTTCTGTAAATTCCATTCATTATTTTATCTTTGTTTTTAAATAATAGTTTCATTCCGTATTTTCTCATACATTAAATTCACCCAATGTGAAAATGTGTTTTTTTTAAAAATACTGTTAATACTTATCATGAAATTATGTCTTAGGATAAGTACAACACCAAATTAGCCCAACAATATTTTTCCACTCATTTGCAATGTAGTAATTTAAACGAGTTAGGATCCATTAAACGATATATCTGCATATTTACATTTTTAATATTTTTTTATAAAATATGTGATTAATCAATTTATTTATTAATTTCAAAATTCTTATTAGATAAATTAATTTTATAAAAAAATAAAATTTTTAAATATTTCATCACATTATTATTATAAGAGATAATATATTTTTAAAATATAAATAAATATTAAATTTAAATAATATACATACAAATGTTTAAATTATATAAAATTTTATATAAATAATCATAAAATAGTATAAAATAATTTAATAGTTGAATTGATTCACATATTTTCAACTAATTTTTAGTCACTACATATACTAGTTATTCTCCAAAAGCAAAATGTTTTGTATCCTTAGTTTACACCTTACGGTTATGGGCGGTGATGCGTTATGTTTGGCAGAGTTAAATGAAAAAACAAATCAACATAATTAAAATATAATAAATTCAATTATATATTCATTAATTATTAATAAGTAATTTAAACTAACTTGATTTAACTATAAATGAGTTGATTGAGATTGAATATTTGAGCACGTATTTAAATTATTAAATTAAACTAAAAATACTTATCGAGGGAAATCTTAATTTATACTTAGTTATTAAATTATTCGTAAAAACTTACATTTAAAAATAAAATTAATTAAGTGTTTAATAGCTACAAAATTTGTACAATTTAAATTTAACTCTTATAAACTTTTTAATTAGGATATAGTTTATATTTTTTATATAAATTATTATTTTTAATTCTTTTAACTAATGGGATTTATTAATATACTGTTAATTATTAGTTTTTTTAAAATTATGTTAAATAGAAGGACTAAAATAAATATAGAAATTATATTGAAATAATATTGTTTTAATCAATACACATCGTGTATAAAGTCGGAAAACTTTTATGTGCACATATGACACATCATCGGTGAATCATGTGATGTACATTTTTTTTTATATAAAATATAATTCAATTACTAAAGGTATTAGTACAAAAATATTGAAAGCAAAACTTATGTTAGAAAATTTATGTTTATGTTATAAATTTAAAATTTTATTCTTAAACATGAAATTATATTTAATTTTACTTTTTTTAACACTTGGCTTTATTATTATTATTATTATTATTATTTATTTATTTAGTTGTATTTTTTACTTCTGATTTGTATTGTTTGCAAATTTGAGTTCTCAAGTTTCTTTTAGTTGATTAAATCTCTCTAATTTTAAAATTATTTAAATTTGATCCTCCAATAATTATTTTTTAATGTTTTAATTATCCAATATTTTGTTGAGCTTGTAATAGATTTAAAAGTTTAAAAGTAAAAAATTTAGTGAAAATTTCAAGCATTTGAAGAGTTTTATGAAAGGGAGATTAGAGTTTAAAGAGAAAAAAAATAATTTGGGGCAAATTTTGATATTTTTATTGGTTAGTTTTGATAAAAAAATAAAATTCATCGGTTTAATTTGTAAAATAATTGGGTTAGAATTTATGAATTTTCGGCAGAAAAACTTGATAGGGAACAAAATTGTAGAACTTTAAAACTAGAGAAATTTAATTGACTGAAAAAAGAAGTTGGAATATCAAAATTACACACAACCCAAATAAGAGGGAAAAGTATAATTAATCATATATTTGTTTTATTTAAAACTTATTAAATAATGAAATATTTATAAAATATTTTTTACTAGAATATTCTCCCCCTTTTTAAATATCAACATTATGTATTCTTTAAAAAGTTATATTGATATTTACGTTTTCATACTATACTCTTAATTTAATTTGTTATTCTCAAATCTAAGTAACTTATATTGTCACATATTGATTTATGTGCATTTAGTTTATATTTTAAATTTTACTTAAATTAAAAAATATCCACTTAACATATGAATCGTAGTTGCTGGCTGATTATTTTATGCAATTCAAATTACGAAAACAAAAAATGATAATATAATGAGTATTCATTAATTTTCCACATAATTCATTTGTCAGAAATAAATGTTACTATACTCTCGATTTTTTATATTGTTTTAAAAAACTATTTTTAAACTATTAAATCTTCAAAATATGAAAAGAAAAATAGTTTTTTTTTTACATGTCTAAAGACAAAAAAAATTCACTAAATTTATATATGATAAATTTTTATTAAAAATCATATTATATTACTAACTTTAATGAATAGAAAACATTAAATACATTAAATTTTAATAAAAAATATTATTTATTATTTTTTTATAGTGTACCTTACAATTATTAAAAAATAAAAATAATTGTATATATATTTGTAATTAATTGTGAGACAGTCCACAGTCCGTTTCATTGCAAAAGCATTTATGATATTTATCACATTTCTCTGAGTTAATTATAAGGTCTTAACAAGTGGGATTAAACAAATAGTAAATTTTCTAAAAAATTATATTAAAAATATATGAAAGTGAGTATATTTTAACACTTTCAATAATTTTTTTGTTTTCTTAATTAATACCTTAGAACAATAATTGGGATTTTATTTAATTATATACATTAGAAAAGTCAAACAGTTCGTATAAATTAAAACATTACTTTTTTCATTAATTATATTTTATTTATGACATGAGAGACTGCCTATTTGCAGTCAAACTTACAATAACAGACCATCTAATTCTTCATCTGTACATTTATAAAAAAGAAAAATAAGAATATCAAAAGATAACTCAATAAAGTGCAAAATTAGCAAAAGATTAAGAGGAGAAAGAAAAAATCATTCCTGGACCAATGTCTATAAATTCATTAATGGTATTGATAAACATTCAACAGCCTATGCATGCAAGCATTCAGGGACCACGTGGACAATTCATTTCAACTCCTCCAGTTTCCGTTTTCTTATCCTCATATGATAATATTCTTAGCGTTAACTTCACAAACCATAACCTTCTTCATCAATTTATTAACTTTGCATTCATCCTCTTCCTCTTCTACCACAGTCAAGAATATGTAGCTGCCAAATATTTTTATTATTTTTTTTATCAATTTTACTTCTAGTTTTAGTTAATATTATATAACAATGTTTATGTGGGTGGGTCTATATACATATATATAGCTAATTCATCAAATGGTAGATAGAAGGTGGCACCAAAATAGAATTAGGATATTGAATTTATAATTTAAGGGAAATTAAGAAGCTACAAGGTCATATATCTAGTTAGACATAGCTTGAGGGAATGCACACGCATTACTCTTGGCGAGGGCGTGTCAACCACAGAGAACTCAGGGCTCGAAGACGATGGAAGTACTCAGAAATTGCCACCAAACACCTCGCAGCTTGGCGTGTTGTTAGAAGATGATGCAGACGGTGAATTGTCTGGTGCCTCAGATTATCAGCCTGTAAGTTATCATTGAATTTTCAGTGAATAGAAATAAAATGCATAATTTTATCGATTCTTTTTCTTTTTAGAGTTAGATCGATTATAGGTTGCTTGAGTCAAGAACATATGTGACATTTGTTAGATAATATTAAAAACTGTTTCATTTTATATAATAGACATGAACACGTTGAAAATATTAGTGATGGAATATTGTCCCACGTGATGCAGCAATTAAAAGTGGTATGAGCTAACTGGACTGTAGGAGCTAATGAACAGATAAAATTGGCAGAAGAAGGGTAGGGGATACTAGAACGGTGCCCTCTTTTCAAATCTAGTTCTCAAACTGGAACCAGATTTGCAACCTATCCCTATAATTGTTTGCATCATATGTACGATGAAGTTGCAAGTCAAGTCAAGTTTTGAAACATATTTAAGTGAAAAATATATGGCATATGGAAAACGTTGGATTGGGTAAAGCAGCCACTAGCAAGCAAGATGGAAACATCTTCATATGTACTCATGAAATAGATCAATCAGTCAAACTAAACCCATTTAAATAGATCAACAAATACATCTTCAGTTTTCTTTTCTCTTTCGTTGATATTCGTGTCCCCAATTAAATGTTGTTGATAAAGGAAAAATAAATACACCCTCACATTTTTTTTATAATAGAATTTTTTTAATGTGTTCAAAATAATAAATCATAAATTTTATTTAAAAAATTAAAGTTTAATATTATTATTAATGTATTAAATTTTGTAATATCTTATGTTTTTCATCAACATTTACTTTATAGTATTCTTATTGTGTACTGTTGGACACGTACTAAAAAATTAAAAACATTTATTTTTTTAGCATGTCCATAATTTAAATTTATTCAATTTTCATTGACATTTTATAAAATATAGACGACTTATACTTTTTTTTAAATTTTTCCTGAGTAATTAATACTTGTTTGGCAGAGAATAATAAATGAGATATTAATTAACATAGGTGAATGATATAATAGATAGTTAAGTAATATTTTCTATAAAATTTAAAATATTAGTTCATGTGTAAAATCTTAAATGCTAAAGAAAAAAGAAAAAATATATATCATAAATTTATATTATTAAAAAAAATTTAATATTATATTTAAAAAATAGTATTAAATGATCAAATTAATTAATATATTAAAATAATTAATTTACCTATTTATATGAGTGAGAATATCTTATTAACAAAAGTTTTATAATAAATGACATAAAAAAATTTAATAATTAATGCATATAAATACGATTTTTTATTTTTCACAATTTAAAAATATTAACTAAATTAATCATTTCTTATAAAAAAAATATATAAAAAATACTACCAACCAATAAAAGGATAACAAGACCAAAGAAAGGCATAATTGTTATATATCTTTCAAATATTAACCAAATTTAATTAAGTAAAAGGTATGACGATGCACTTTGCTCTAGAATTATTAATATAGTTTTAATGTATTTTCTTATAAAAAATTTAAAGGTGGTGATTAATAAAAATATTGATGGAAGAGACAAGATTGAACAGCAAGAGGAGACAAGAGCGTTTTTAGTCATAGCTAAACAAAGGCTACAATTAATTGGTCAAACAGAGACAGGACGAGCTTTCAGACTAATTAATAGGAAAGGTAGGTTGCTTGCGATAAAATCCATATTATAATCATTATGATAATGTTGTCTACCTAAGGAATCCTCTATTTTCTGTTGATATTATTTTCATTTGTTACTTGTCATATGTTCAAACCTATTCTTCGGAGACTTGTAATTAAAATCAATTATACACCATAGAAATTAAGCATAGTTGGTGAACCGACCTAGTTACCATGAATGTCATCAAGAAATTTTTGACATCTTACCATTGCAGCCATCTAATTATACACTTTTTTTTTTGTTGGCTTGGGATCTGTTTGGAAGATGAAGATGTTCACACCTAGAACCTATAAAATATTTTATTTTTAAATTTTGGGGAAATTTTTTATTTGTCTGATTTACATTTAGATGTATTTTTAAAATATAAAAAAAATAATTATATAACTTCAGATATAATATACTTGTTTGTGTTTTTAGAAATTGCCAAAAAGCAAGTTATGGTGAAGGCTCTATATGTTGTGTATTACGGTTACGATGATGACATCACACAGGTATGGAGTTCAAAACATATCTTTCAACGAGGGACCACTAGTTTTGCCATAGACTCACGTGTACATAACCAATGTCACAACTACTGATTAGTAGTAACCTTATGCATTCATTGTTAAATGCATTGATCAATTAATATATACCCTCTTAATATAATCAAGTACTAAACTTTGGTGATGTATAATTCTGTGTGTCTAATCCCAATTAACAAGAACTAAAAGCGGAAATTGATTATTTTCTTAAAAATTTAGTAAATGACATATTCAATACTTAATAAAGTTTGCTTGTGTAAAAAATATTAAAGATGTCATTTAAAAATGTTTAACACTGAAGATGGATATAATAAACAGTGCGAACGCCGCCCCCTCCTAATATGAAAATTGTGGCAGATTTTATAATCTAAGTTTGTAGATTCCATGGAACAAGCTGGTGCGAGAGAGAGAGATGCATGGAAGTGGTTGTTCATGAGAGGGTTGGGAGTAGGTCTCTCTACCCAATCCAAGAGGGAACAGATTCTCATTCTTACCTGACCCCCACGAGATCAGTTATGGAAACTTTGTAAATATGTCATGGGGGACCACAAAACTAGTTAACCAAGATTTCATCATCACAAAACTTACCCAAATCACCCCCACAAACTCAACATGCATTCATCAACACTATTCTTTTTTCTCTTTTATCTGGCCTAATCTATCCCTTCTTCTTGTATAGTTTTATGTTTTCTTAATTTATCTTTTATGTATGTCATTAAACTATCTTTATATATATATATTTTGTGTGTCGCTTAGTTCTTTTGTAGTATTATTGACCAAAAAAATTAAAACTACTAGGGGTAAAATGTAATTTATGCTACATGTATATATGCAAACTCTTTCAAAAAGTTAGGAATGAATGTGGTGAGTCAAAGGATGTAACGTACCTGTCTCACAAAACTTTCAAGTGTGGAGAGCTTGTTCATTGCCACAGCCATCTGTCCCATGTAGTTAGTCATGTTGGGAGTGCAGCACAAAGAGTCTGATGCTATAGTGTCTGAGAGAGATTGGTTGAGAGCTTCAAGACCTTGAGAAAGAGCCTCTTCAGCCTCTTGTGTAGATTGTTGCAACCCACATATCCCAAGAATTTGTTGCTCCGTAAGAGGCTCAATTTGACTCAGAATAATCTAAAATTAACACATATTAATCAATGAAACGTATTTAAACCCACTAATAAATAAAAAAATATTTACACCTAAATATTATATAATGCTTAGGTCATTGTCTAGGAGTTAGGTTCCTTTTGTTCATATGCGTATCACAAAATTTTATGGTCAATGAGGGGTTGTTTACTGATTAACTACATTACAAAGAAAAAGGTGGCATGGAAAGGGGAACTTCATTCCCATCAACTATAGAGAGGAAGAAGACAATTAGATAGAGACCCGTGCCACTTTCCTATACTCTTTCCTTTCTCAGTTGATCTCTGATTCCAACCAGAATATGAAGTGAAAGGTATGGCTTTATGGAAATGAAGCCTAACTCTACCAAAACCGGAAATCTTCATGATACCTTTAATTCCATATTCATTGATTACATTTAATTCATTGCCCACAAATTTTCTTTGGAATCCCCACCGACAAGTCAATGGATTTATGTAAATAACTTCTTATTAAGTTATCCAAATTTAGGGACGGATTCAGGGAACCACACACACACACACACACACACACACACATATATATATGTGTGTGTGTGTGTGGTGTGAAAGCATGAGAAATTTAAGATTAATTCATAGCTACTCCTCCTCTTCACATATAAGTATGGTTTAAAATTCAGATTGCAACCGCAACATCAAAAGTTTTAGTTTTTGAAACTCCATTAATTACAACCACAGCTGTAACTGCAACTTTCTACAACGTCAAAACTTTTGAGAATTCTACAACCGTGATTGTGATCACAATTTTAAATCTTTCATAAAAGATAAAACTAAGTTTGTTTTGGTGATTTGTCATCTAGTTGTGTCAAAATATTGAGTGGGGCATGCATGTAGATAGCATTTTTTTAAGGTAGGTCGGGTTTCAATTATACATACCTTGATGAGTTCAGATGGCCTGAACCCACCGATCCACATAAAGCAACGTTCAGCTGGGGTCTTCCACATACCAAAAACAAGATGGAATACGTCTGTTTTGGCCACTAAGCTCTTGAGGTTCATTACTTGATCATAGTGAGCCAAACAGTTGTCCACATATAAACGAAGCTCGTTTTCATGAAGATGTTCTTGCACTGCAGCTCTTAGCTCACACACTAGGCGGTGGTGCTCCTCTAACCATCTTGAATATTCCACGTCAAACATTGCAGCCTCTGAAGTTATTAATGCACAAAATTATATCACATGCACAAAATCATATTGGGTATGTAGAAGTGAGCATAACACATATCGAGATCATAAATGTTTTATTTGTAAGTATTGAGAAGATCACCTGAGCTAGTGCTACTCATAGCGATAGGAATGCCTTGCTCCCCTCCCACTAGTCCACTTCCACCCATTAATATGCCCTAACATAGTAACACGCATTACTTGTTAGTTGTTGGTGGTATTGCTGTTTGAAGTTGCATTGCAACATAATCAATCACGGCACACACATTTATTATAACATTTTATAACACTAAAGACATGTTTGAAAAAATTTTATTTAAATAAATAATTCTAACTTTCTTTTTAAAAGTTTTCTCTTAAAAAAGCTAAATTAAATATGTATAAGTACATGTCCATTGAACTTATTTTGAAACATATATTAACTTTTTAAGAGTTTTTACAAAGAAAAAAATATTTCTTAAAAAATAAGATAAGAAAAATGCACCAAGTCTTTGCCATGAAGAGGTTGTTACTTACTTGAGTTCTAGCACGCTGTAACTCCTGTTCTAGCTGATTAAGCTTAATCCTACTTGACTCTAGCTGCTGAACGTACGCCTAAAGAGAGAGAGAGAGAAGCACAAATAAATTAAATTGGTATGAAGTTCAAACTGTAAATATAAGAGAAGCTTTGACAAGTTTTGCCTAAAATGTGTAAAACAGCACAGTTGAGATAAAATTATCTTCCAGAAGAATTCACAGTACCTTTTTCCTGAGCCTGCTTTTCCTCGCTGCCTCTCTATTCTGAGCAAGTCTTCTCAGTGTCTGTGCACGTTTTAAAAGCACATATTGAGCGTTAATTATCAAATCCAAAAGAACATAAAGACAAAAAGAAAGTTCAAAGAAATACAATTATTTAGAGCAATCAACCTTAGGATCTGGTGTTTTGGGTCCTTCCTGTTCAGAACTTGACGTTGTTCCCTTGCGATTGCTTTCTCGCTGATATACCACATGCATATTACGCAGGTGATCAATGAGAGAAAAATGGAAAAAAAGAAAACTATTCATAAATTTAGTCAAAGATATATATATTTAAAAGAGAAATACAAGTTATACATTCTTCAACTTATTTCATGTGATTATTTTTTAAATTTTCAAAATAACATTTTAAAAATTATCAGTTTATGAAACAAGTGTTTTAATTTTTTTAAAAATATATTGATCATGAAGAGTGTTAACGAATGTGTTGCATATATTTCTCCATGTCTATGCAATGTACTTTTACAGCTTTGGGTGGCTCAGGCGCAGAGGGGGCGGCATCACTGGGTGGGTTGGCCAACTTCATGGACGGTTCTGATGTTGATGGTCTTTTGGAGCCACTGGTTTGTGGAGAAGGTAATTCCATGCTAGCCTACCAAATACAAACGAAATTATATATTATATGTTATTTAACTATTAGCACATAGGTGGCACATGGGATAATATTCAATATATTATAAGGTATGAGATATAATTGATAGTGGGATATTATTATTATTGTTGTTGTACCTTGGAATTGGATGGAGGCACTACGTGCATAGGCTGAGATGGGAAAATGTTGAGAGTTGGTGGTGGCCTCATTCCTAATGATGAAGAGTTCTCTGCTGAGGCGCAGACATGCACGGAATTGAGCAACATCAGTTATATATATGTAAATGTAAATATATCAATTAATTAAAGCAAGAATAGCAAGTAACATATGTGTGAGAAATGAAGTTAATGACTGAAAATAAGAGAGATGTTCTATAAGAGACAAAATGATTGCAGAACACCACAAGAGAGGTGTGGGAAATTGTCATGCATTTGTAGCTTGGCCATCCAAAAGCAAAAAGGAAGAGTGAAAAAAGTAAAAGGAAGAACCCACCCATGCCCTATGTGTATCTTTTTTCAGTACATGTGGAATTGGCGAGAAGATCATGCCACAAGTTTGTTACATGTCATGATCTCACAGCACCGAGCAATCAAACAAGAAATGAATAATAAAAAAAAAAGGCTGAGAGAGAGAACAAGTGAGAGAGAGGATCAGTTTTTCATTTTTCTTTTTGTTTTACTTCTCTCTGCAAGGATCCGGTCAAACAAAGTACCATACGGCAGATAAGATATGAATCTCCTGAAACATGCTTTTGCCGTGACCCAAACGAACCATCCCTTAGAGAATCTTTCAAATGAAATGAAAAGGAAGAGAAAAAGTGCTTCTCTTTCTGAATTTGAAGAAGAGAGAGAGAGAGAAATTAAAGCTCACGTCTTTGGTCTTGTTGAACACTGGAAGGGTCAGCCTGTCCATCGAGATACAAAAAAAAGGCTTGATCCAATTCCCCCAAATCATACGCTCCCGAATCTTTGCTTCTATTGAACATAAACACATGACAGTAAGAGAAAATTAAAACAACAAAAATTAATATTAATATAATGATAGCAATAAAAAAATGTCATATAATTGTTTTTTTCCTTTTCTTCATCAAAATCTTGATGATCCGTCACACAAAATAGCTTGGGAGAAAGTCCACTACAGTGACTCATTATAAGTACTCACAAGTAGTTTCCGGGGATAGAAGAGGATGATGAAGATGGCATCATTCCAAAAGAAATTTGGTGTTCTTGAGTTGGATGATGATGATGATGATGGGGATGAAGATGTGGGGGTGGTGGGAGTGGTTCAAGTTGGGTTGTTGTTGGGTTGGTGCTCTTAACAGTGGAAGCCATGATCAGAGAGGAACCTAAAAACTTTGTCTCTTGCTCTTGTTGTTCTGCTTCTTCAATAGCTATAGAAAACCCCATTAATGGTGAAACCGCCTTTGTTTTTTTGCACTTAAAATCATTTCCTTTATCCACGCAGGGAGAGAAGGAGGAAGAGAGAGTCGGTTAGAACCTTGTAATCAAATAGCTGGAGAGTGATAATAAAGAGAGGAAATAGAATTGAATGCTAAGAAACAAAAGACAAAGCTTCTTTTTTCTTTTCTTTTATATCTCTCCCCCTTTCTCTCTCATCTTAGCTATTAGAATTTATTCAGACCAAGCGGTTCCAGGAAATCCTCTTCAACTCTCTCTCTCTCTCTCTCTCTCTCTCTCCAGAAAAACCACTTAAGAGAGAGCATGAGAAAAAAGTATGTTTGTTTATTTAAAAATACAAACACAATTTTTTATGCCCAAGTTATACTTTTTTTTTTCTTATCATTCTCTTTTATATTTTACTTTTTTGTTTTTCCCAAAGGTTTAAAGATCATAAGAATGTGAAAACAAAAATTAGAAAGGTTACTTTTGAGTTTAAGGGAGAGTATGTGAAATGGAAAGGCAGCAATGGCTTCCTTGGGTAGCCCTTTTAGTCTATTGGATGAAATGACCAAAAAGTCTTAAATTGTGTTCAACTTTTACTGTGTACGTTTTCATGCAAACTTACACGTAGTTCCCTGAGGCAACTCTGTCCATTGGATCATTACTTAGCCACTTTTCTTTTCATATATACTTTTATTTTGCCTTCTCTTGTTTTTGACGTACCTTTTTTCTCTCTCCTTTTCTTAAAAGGTTTTATGTTTTGAAATTTTATTCCCGTGTCCTCTCCTTTTTTAAGAATTTTTTAAATAGCTAATAATAATAACCATTAATTATGTGATTTTTTTTCACACCTTGTAATCCCTTGTTAACTTGGAGAGTTAACATTCACCGGCCTTAATGATTTAGATGGAGATATATATATATATATTAAATTATATTCCCATGTATATGTCTTCTTAATTAAGCCATTGAATAAATGCTAGAATGATATTCATTGAATTTGAAAAATAAGTTTGTCACAAGTTGAATCTTATAAATCGTTTTCAAGAGTGAGGAATATCTATAGAATAATTACAGTCATAAGAAACTAGCTTGCAGACGTAAGTTATCTCTACATGGTAGATATGGTTGAAAATACTTCAATTTTAGCATTGTTCTCAACTTGGATGAAATTGACTTTGGAAAGCATAAATATGTTGGAATTTCGTAACTTGATAATTTCCCAACAAATTTCAAAGCACGGATCATACGCATTCTATTTTCAAGTTCCACAACTAAAGATTGGATCCGTCGCCTATTAATCCTTGAAGACTAGTAAGCAAATGTCAACCAGATATTATATAAAATACTCCAAGATGATCAAGTTTTTATTGTTCTTTTCCAACCAAAATCACAGGTAAATGCAAGATTGTTTAATTAATTAATTAATGTAGCTTGGAAAATTAGGCTTAATTAATAATGTGCAATTATTTGAATTTTAATAGTGAATTATAGTTCTATTGCAAGCTATTATTTTAAGGAAAAAAAAATAATCATATACTCCCCCGCAAAAGTCAATAGCTCTTATGATTCATATTCATTGATGCTTATTTACAACCTTGTTAAATTAGTTGCAGTTGCAGACGGGACTCTTTAAAATATATAACGTGTACCTATTAATTAATTAATTAATTAATATATTTATGTTTAGATTAATAAAAATGGTCAACATAAACTCAACAGTAAAAGGGGGCGGGGCGGGGCGGCGGACGGGGCCGAAACGCATTCAGCTGGATGGAGGCACGTGCATTGCAGTGTTGGACTCGTGTGAGAAAATTTAGGAAACGCTTATTTTATTTTATTTTTTTAAGAATATTTTCAAATGATCAATTGCTTTTCAGTTTTATTTATTACTTTTTTTCACCTAAATCTAAGTATTTTTACTTTTCTATTTATTTATTTGAATAAATTATGCCTATTTCTTTTATAATTTTCTTTTAATTTACATTTTTAGAATTTACTTAAATTGAAAAATATTTGTGTAAAGCTAGCCTGAGTAACACTTATCCTTGATATTACTAAAAAAATAAATTTTAATTCATATTTTTTTATGACTATTAATTAATATAGAAGGATCGAAAGAAACTGCGTTACACTATATTATAACTTATGGATTGCAAATTTGGAGAATGATTGACACAATCGCTTTTTAAAATCAATTTGCAGAGAAGTTGTATGGAAACTACTCTCTAAACATCATTTGCATAATGATTAAGAATTAATCGATCTTTAAATTTCTTATTTTAGAAAGTGTTTGACACATAGAATGCTCTCCAAGTTGCAGTTTAGAGAGCATTTCTTTGTTACCTGCTCTATAAAAGTGAACCTTCACGAAACCTCTTCTTTCATGTCCTCGTGTTCGCTCTTCTTATGTACTTACCACCATGCTCTTTATGTATGTTCTAGAGCGCCATATCTTCCACATTCTGAAACAGTGAAGAAATAAATGATGAGAGGTTTCAACCTCTTCTATACAAATGGAGATAGGCCTTCATCTTCCAAAGAAACACCTATGAACATTAGATTTTGCTTGGATGCTACATGTCCATTGACCAACAAGGATACTTTCAGTGGGACCATATTTTCCTAATTGTTTCTGCTATTGACCACCCTTCATTACCATATTTTCCTGATTGTTTCTGCACCATATTAGTAAATCTTCCTTTCCCTTAGCCACTGTTATTTCCAGCTACACCGTTTACAACATCTTTGATCATCATAGACAATACTTTACTCTTGAATTTTGCTTTAAACGTGAAGTATCCAATCTATGCTTGTTAATGCCATATTTTTAGTATATGACCTTTTAAACGTACCTTGAATTCTGCAGCATACTTTTTAATGTATTAAATAATCTTAATATTGTAAACATTTTGCTTTTTTTTTTCTGCACTAGTTACTCATTGTTGTTATGCATGCTTTGATTTTTTCAAAGAATTAGTGAGATATTAACATATAACTCAAAGAATGAGTTGGTTATCAACATCTTAATTAAATATTTTTAGGATAAATAAGCTATACATCGATCAAAAACAAATATAAAGAAACTGAAAGAATTTAATTTAATATTATATAATTTCACTAAGTAATGAATCATCAATATACCATTAATCTCGCTAAATATAAAGTTACTTGAAAGTCATAGAAATCATATTTTTTGTAATGACTTAAATCACTTGACACTGTATATAGAAATATATAATAATATTAAAAAATTATAATATCATTTAACTATTCCTTTTGCTTATTTTAAACAGTATTAACATTTGAAAAGCCTACAATGTCAGAGACAGAGAACAAACACAGACAATTAATTCGTGTAAAAAATCATATATCTCATACATTAATAACAAATCTATCTCACTAGGAATATTAAAACAAATAAAAAATTTGTAGATTAAAAGATAATTCGTTATGTTTAGAATAAAACTTTTAGGTATCTATTCATGTATATCTTCTTAATTCATCAAATTGATTGTTATTTAACAAATAAAAAGCGAAATTAACAAAGTCAAAAGCAATTATAAATGACACTGTATAAATAGTAACTAGTTTAATATGGTATAATAGTAAGAATTTTTATTTTAAAATTAAACAGATAAATAAAATTCACCAACACATTTTATTAACTAGTTTAATAGCTTGTACAATATATAGGTATTATATATATATATATATATATATATATATATATATATATATAGTCAATTTTATAAATAATTATGTATATATGATAAATTTATTTTAACTTAACTATATAATTATGAATATTTTGTGTTAAATGATAAAAATTTAAAATATAATTTATTTTAAAATATTTTTATTGCATTGTGTCAAAATAAATTTAATAAAGCATCAATAATCATTATACATTAATAATCATAAATTTAATAAATAATACTCTTAAAAGTAAATTTGAATTTTGAAAAAAAAATAAAAATAATTTTTATAAATGTAAAAATAGACATTTATGAAAACTCTAAAAATTTATATAAAGTAATAAGAAAAAAGTTAAGTAACAATTTTAATCTTCAAAATTTTAAAAAAAAAGTTAACAATTATGTGAGTTAAGAATAAAATCATTGCAGCAAAATAAAATATAATTCACACATTATTCTTAGACTATGTTGGTAAAGATAACTTATAGTTTATTTACACACTTATACCTTATTAACTTGGTTAATAAGCTAATAAAGATGTTTGATAAATACAAAAAAAAAAAAAAAACTATAGTTTTAGAAAGCTAGCTTTTCAAAAGCTAGTTACCAATATTTTTATTACATTTTTTATCCTTTATCTTTTTTAAAAATATAACTTATCATTTATATAATTAAAAAAATTGTTAAACATCAACATTTTATTAAGAATAAATTTAGAGTATAAGAGGTATTTTAATTTATTACAACTTTAAAAGGAATTAATAATATATGTTAAGAGATTATTAATCTAATTCATATATACAATCGATCTTTTTAAAAGTCTGCTACTTATAAAAGGGATAATTAATAGAATCAAACATTTCACTATAGATTAACACACTATTATTGAAAAAAATATTATTTCGCTGAAGCCAAACTGTCTATATTACCACAAACCATACCATTGTAACACTTCTTTATTTCTTTTTACCACAATAGATTCCATACATGCTTAGTAATGTCTCGTGCAAACTTCTAAGTAAGCATAAGCTGACATCAAGTCATTCAAATACCATATACCACAATTTTATGGAGACACTGTAATACAAAAAAAGATGCAATATGTCTTTATTTTTATTATCACACAACTCATAAGCTTCCAATATAATTGTTAATTTATGTTTGGTCAAATTTTTTCACATCAGGACGAATGAATACTATTACTTTTCTTGGGGCACTGACCTTCCAAATCTT